AAAAAAATAATCATATGATCTATGACCACTGTTAACTTATCTTTTCATTGACTCCGAAAAAAAAGAACTTATCCTTTTGTTCTTATTGCCATATTTAGGTAATTATGTAAGTAGTAATGATCACCTTTTTTTTCTATGACAAGATTAAGAAAATGCCAACTTAATTAACTATTAGCTACTTATAATTTGTATGCCAATTTAATTAACTATTAGCTACTTATAATTTGTCTTAGGTAGTTGATTTTTAAGAAGAGCCAGTTCAAGCATTAAGGGAATTAAGCTGTTGCATAATGCCTCCAATTCATCGAAGTCCAAAAGTTTTAAGTTTTATATATTTTTTCTTATGAAAAATTCTGTTGATAATTAATAATTTTTAACTTGATAAATTCAAGAAAAAATTAGCGGGTTGGAAATGAAAGCTTTTGTCCATGGGTGGTAAGCACACTTTGATAAAATCAGTATTAAGTTCCATACCTATCTATTATTTTCGGTAATCACCCCTCCCATAAATGTCGTTAAAGAGATACAAGCTCTTTTTGCCAACTTTTTTTTGGAGAGAATCTGAAGATGGATTTAAACGTCACTGGGTCTCTTGGAATAACATATGTTATCCACAAAAGGAATGAGGTTTGGGTATTCGCAGTCTGTTTGATGTGATCAACTCGCTTCAATATAAAATGACATGGAGAATTATTTATTCGCACTCTCTCAAGTTGATTTCTTGCAACAAAAGTATCTCAGTCATCACCTTGACTTGGCCAACATTCCTGTAAGTATTAAAGATTCATCTATATGAAAACAACTTTCACATCACTTCCCATTCATTTTAGAACATAGCAGATGGTTGATCCGAGATGGTCGTGCTCTCTTTTGGTACGAGAATTGGAGGGGTTCGAGTAGCTTGTCTGCACTTGGTTGGACTACCAACTCCCAAATTTAAGACTTCATGACGTAGTTTTAAATGGCAAATGAAACTTGGATAAGCTTTTTTTCTTTAGATGTGGTTCAGCTTTAGTGGAGGATATTCAATGTTCACAAGTCCAACTCCGTAGAGGTAATGATGAATTAATTTGGTGTCCTTGCAGCAATTGTTTATTTTCTACAAGCTCAGCTTGGTCTCTTATGAGATCTACTAAATCTTCTGCCATTCCGTGTAAGATCATTTGAAACTCTAACATGCCACCAAAAATCTCTATTTTTTGTTGGTGTCTTTGGCTTAATGTCATTCCAGGGGATGAAGTTGTTATGCATTGTGGGGTTCCTATTGTTTTCAAATGTCAATGTTGTCCACAGGGACATGAAGAAACAACAAGCCATATTTTCGCCACCAGTCCTATTGCTCTTCAAGCATGGCAATATTTTGGAAATTTATTTGGGGTTCGCGTGCCTACAAATATTTCTTGGCGATCTATAATGTTACTTTGGAATACTCATTTTGGCGGGTCAACACGAGCATCTTTTAGCTCTACTTGTACCACCACTTCTTTCATGGGAGCTGTGGTTGGCTAGAAATTCTGCAAGATTTAAGGATGAGAAAGTTAACTTGCACAAAATTTGTGCTAGAGGTCGATAAACGTTGGCTACATGAATTGAATGGTTTTCTTAAACCAAAACAAATATCGCTTTCCTCCTATTTCTCACAGATATTACACATTCTTACGGTTCTAATACAAGTAAAAACTTCATTCCTAGTTAAAAGGTACCCTCCTCAACATGGCTGTTATAAACTTAATAATGATAGTGCAAGTGCTGAAAATCCAGGCCCGGCTGGTTGTGGTGGATTGCTTCAGGATTGGAAGGGAAAGGTTATTTTTGGGTTCTATCACTCTCTAGGGGTTGGAACCAACACTTTAGCAGAGGTTTCAGCTCTGAGAATAGGCCTTCAAATATGCTATGTTCTTGGCATTGATTGAATAGGCCTTCAAATATGCTATGTTCTTGTCATGGAAAGGATTGCAATAGAAATAGATTCTAATGTGGTGGTTCATTGGTTTCATCAAGTTAACATACCTTGGTCTATTCATCTTATTTGGGAGGATATTTTGAAGCTTGCTCATGCTATATCTATTGATGTATCACATATTTATCGAGAAGCTAATCAGGTGGCAGATTCATTAGCGCAACTTGGAGCTCAAGGTAGTTCAGACTTCTTAGAATCAATCTCCAGTTTTCGTTGGTTGCATCCGCTTGGATAATTGTAACTTGTCTTGTTTTCGTTTTCAGTAGTTGTAATGAGGTTCTTTTGTAAGGGAAATAGTACTTCCTTTTTAAAAAAAACCATGTGTAATCTTTGACCAAAAAAAAAAAAAAAAAATCTACGTATAGGAACGTATATTATCATGTTTTCTTTTCGGCCACAGTATTTTCCTTCAATAACCAAGTCTCCTATGCCTTATTACACTAGATACCGTAGTAAGAAGAAAAGGTCAATCTTATCAATTACAATATATTCATTAGTCCCTCTTTGATAGAGATTTTAATCTAAATTTTAATTTAAATCAAAATCAATAATTAATTTTAACCACATATTTTATGAGATTTACAACTTTTTAACCATACATTTTCATTATTTTTATCAAGATTTATTGAAAATCTGATTTTAATTCCTATCAAATACGGACATAATGTATTTGATCAATTAGAATATATTAACTTCTTCACAAGACTCCGAAGTTGATAAATATATACATATATTTTGAATTAAGATCTACTGTCGAATTTACTATTTATCAAATAAGTAATGTTATTAGCAGTAAAGACTACCGATAGTTTTCCTACGTGTCATATATGTGGCGATTTGTGATTTAATGCACAAGTCAATAAAAAAACTAACACATGAATATATCAAATCACAAACCGCCACATATATGTCACATAGGAAGACTGCGAATAACATTATTCTTATCGAATTAGTTATTGATACATCATTTTAAATTAATATGTCTTAACTTTTCTCTAACTACTCCTTATGTTTAAAAGTAGTTGATATTTTAAAGTAAAAGTTGTGTCGATAATTAATTGATGGACAATAAACAAGGCTTGCCTTGAAATTTTGCATGGCTTGTGCAACATTTTAAAATTGTGTCCCTTTTATGAAATTAAAAATTATATTTCAATAATATTATTTCATTTCATAATTATGACATTTAAATACTATTTCTTTTTTAAATGTCTTGAATAAGAAAAGTATAAGTAAATCTCAAAACCACCTCCTAAACTTCATCAAAACTCATATGTCATCAACAAAGAGTCATCCAAACCACTACAATCTTCATGCAATTCCATATGAGCAAATCTTGAAATCAAAAACATCAAATACTACGTGTAAACCTTGAAATGCAATAAATCATATAATCATCTCAGATTTCTATAAGCAAACTCATTAATTAAACTTTCATAATCAAAAAGTTCTAGCAAATCTTATTCAACAGATATCAAAGCTAAGCCATTCAATCGTTCTTGTAAGATGGTTGATCGTATATAGATTTTAATAACTTCAATTAAAAAAAAAACTTCTTTCTACAGATACAATAGTAATAACAATTGTCAATAATATTCTATAAGCAATAAATGTATTCGAAAAGCAATCCATTCTTTTTAAATAAGTCAATATATCAAAAGCTGTCTTTGTTTCTTTCAGTAAAAGATTTCGCAAAAATTTTAACTTTTAAAACAAATCTTCACCATCAATGTGAAGATGATCACAACTTGCTTTCAAATTAGCATAATCCAATTAGTTTAACTTCTTAGAAGAAAATAAAAATCCAATTTTTTTTTTCATATGAATTGAATTTATCAAACCTACGTTCAAATGATCCAACTACAGTAGCATTTTCATCAAAATGTTTCTTCCTACAAATTATAATTTTCCTCTTTTTCGTTTTCCCCCTTCCCTCACATTATTTAAGACATGATACTATTTAAGAAAATTACATTCAACCAAATTATAATTAGTCGATTACATTATTCTTAACTTTAATATTTTATACAATTGCATATCATACCAAGTCAAATACCTACAATTAATTAAAAAAAAATAATCCATAAATAAAAATAATTAAGCATAACACATTGAAATTAGCTATGAAAGAGCCTAAATCATGTGACTCATTTCCCTTACTTTAATAAAAATGTCTTTGTATGATACGCAATTAGGAATAAGAAATACAATAATGTTAAATGAAATTCATTATTTGTCTATTTTCAACTCTTTTTTACGAACATTGTTTCTTTTAACTTAAAATAATAATTAAAATTTTAAATTTTAAAAATATTTTAATTATATAATTATACATATATATACACATAACAAATTTTTTTTTGTGCTCCTATACTGTTGAGGCCCTGTACAGTCGCTCAGGGACATCTCTCACAATAATTGAACAACAAAAATTAGACTCAACTCGTATATTCTATAGAAAATGATTAGAACTAAATCTGAATGTTGTGTAGCCAATGCCCATGCAATCTCGCCAACACTAACTTTGCACATATTACTAACCAAGCCATATTAAATATTTAATCTTTCAACTAAGCTATAAAGTGGGATCTTGCTGCTGCTTAAAATCACTCTCCTAGCTAGTGGCCTATACTACTTTATTTCACTATTCTTGTGCCAATTTTACAGGGTCCTAATTCCTAATTGTTACCTGAATCTGAAACTAAATATCAAAGAATCACATTGTCTCAAACATTTAAATTAATTTTCGACTTTACTTCTCCATTCAAAGCACTGGCTTGATGATGGAAACTTGCTATTTACCAGAATTATTGCTTAAAATGCTGAAAAAAAAATGAATTAAAATCCGGCGTCAATCTTGGGGGCCTCCTTTTCTCTTGCATGTGAGGACCATACACACTAATTCCACAACCCTCCTTTTACTTTATGTCATCCCTTTTAATTTATTAGTTTACCCATAGAAAAAATATATTATAATTTCCTATATATGAATTCCCCTTCACCTTCACAAATCATAACCATTTATATTCATTATATAGATATGGCTCCTATAGGTGACAATGTTGTGGTTTCTAATATGAAGCTTGAAAGGATGCTTAGCATGAAAGGAGGCAATGGAGAAGCTAGCTATGTGAACAATTCACAGGCTCAGGTTTCTTACAGTACCCTTTCTCTCCCACTTCACACCTCGGAACGCACTGTTCTTGTAGAGATAGACGTGCATTTACATCTTCTTAATCCAAAATAAAAGGGTCCGGAAGAGGAAATTTTTCATTTTTTAACGGTACTATACCCTATCTATCTTTATTTTTCTAACTTCATTTTATTGTGTATAAAGGTATCCATATGCTTTGGTTTTGGGTTCTATTAAAATCTTTTAGGGTGAAAACCCCTTTGTCACTCACGATGTTTCATGTTGGTTGTCCAATTTGATTTCAGTTTAAATAAAACCCTAATTTTTTCTAGCAGAATGTCTAACATGGAGGACGTTCATATTGATGCCATCCATGTCATATTGCTGTCTTCTACACGGCACAAGAACTAACAAATTATAAAGTTAAAAAGGAAGAGAGGGTATTTGGAGTTGCATATATTCTAAACCTTAATTATATAAATCTCCTTCATCTAAATCTAATCTCTGCAGGGGCTACATGCTCAATCAATGCTCCACCTTCTTAGAGAAACCCTCGACGGCGTCCAGCTAAACCCGGCGGCAGACATCCCTTTTGTAGTGGCGGACTTGGGCTGTTCATGTGGGACCAACACCATTAACATGATTGACGTTATTATCAAGCACATGACGAAGCGATACGAGGCTATGAGTTATAACCCGCCGGAATTCTCAGCCTTCTTCTCCGACCTCCCTTCTAATGACTTCAACACTCTCTTTCAGCTTCTGCCTCCCTATGGCGGCAGTAGCATGGAAGAATGCCTAGCTTCAGACGGCCACCGCTCTTACTTTGCTGCTGGAGTTCCGGGTTCTTTTTACAGGCGGCTCTTCCCAGCCAAATCTGTCGATGTTTTTTACTCTGCATTTTCTTTGCACTGGCTCTCTCAGGTTATTCTTATACAAGTCTTGATATAGATATATTCTATATATCTTACTAAAACAAATTCTAGGTTTCTGATAATAATTGATTAACCTTTTTTCATTATGTTGTTCTTTTCCTTCTTTTCTGCACCTTCAGTTGAAGATGAGGCCGAGCCCCTCTTATATTTTATTTTCATTATTAATGAACATGCCACTTATAGTGGTTTAACTGAAAAATGTTGATTTAGGGTTTGAAAATGCTTGTAAAAGCTACTAACCTTTCCTTTTTTCTTTTATTTTTGGGGAATGGTAAAAAAGGTAAAAATTAATGGCCCCTGGTTTGATCAAAACCACTTCTTGAACTTACTGTCCTTTTCTTCCCTTTATTAGTGTAGAGCTATGAATGATGAATGCATGGGAGAGGGTTTATTTTGAATTCTTTAGATGAAATCTCAGTTTCTTTTTACCTTTCTAGCTCATATTGGAGATTCTCGACCTGCATGTATATTATCCTTCAACAAAGAGATGAGAACATTTCAATGAGCATACTTTATGTTTGTTGGCGTGTAACGTAGAAAAGTCTATTTTACTTATAAAATCTTCTGCAAATAATTTTTTTATCACTGACGGAAATCGAGGATTAGGTGATAGAAAAATTTGTCGCCATCAACGCATTTCATGTGGTATTTAATATGTATTCATATTAGTACCTTTCTAACTATATTATCCTTCAACAAAGAGATTAGGTCAAAGGCATGGAAAAATCAATACAAATGTTTAACTTTTACTGTAAATATTCTATGTTGTTTGACTTATTAGGCTAATTTAATCAAGTTATATTATGGATCCTAGGTTCCTGATATAGTACTAGATAAGAGATCAGCGGCATACAATAAAGGAAGAATATTTATCCATGGTGCAAATGAGTGCACTGCAAATGCATACAGAAATCAATTTCAAACTGATTTAGCCATGTTTCTAAGATCAAGATCAATAGAAATGAAAAGAGGTGGATCCATGTTCTTAGTTTGCTTGGGGAGGACTTCGGTGGACCCTACGGACCAAGGTGGGGCCGGACTTCTCTTTGGTACTCATTTTCAGGATGCTTGGGATGACCTTGTTCAAGAGGTAATTAATTATAATTTACTTATAATTTTTCTTCCATTATTGCCATCAAGCTTGAATATTGTTACTAAATCGTCGAGTTTTTGTATAATAAACTGTTACGACGGTATAAATACTATTTATTTATTCATATTTATATCTTCAATACTTTCTCTTGTACACTCCACAAATTATTTGACGTCCATCTTGCATGCAGGGCCTAATCACTAGCGAAAAACGTGACAACTTCAATATTCCAGTATTTGCACCAAGTCTACATGACTTCAAGGAGGTAGTCGAAGCAAATGGCTCATTCATCATCAACAAGCTTGAGGTTTTCCGAGGAGGAAGCCCTTTGGTGGTTAGCCACCCCGATGACACAGCTGAGATTGGCCACGCCCTAGCCAATAGCTGTCGAAGCATTAGCGGCGTTCTAGTTGATGCGCACATAGGTGGTCAACTAAGTGACGTGCTCTTCTCTCATGTTGAAAGCCGAGCCACAAGCCAAGCTAAAGAGCTACTAGAAAAACTTCAATTCTTTCACATAGTGGCATCTCTTTCTTTAGCTTAGTGAGAAAAATAATAATAATAATGAGAGAGAGTGAGTGGGAGTGGGAGTGGGAGTGGGAGTGATGTGCATAATATAGGAGGGAAAAGGAATGTGTTTTCCTTCAACTTTTCTCCTTTTGTACCCTTAATCAAAACAAAATAAATGAAGTTAGGGAAAATATTTCATTCCCCTTCCTTTATAAAAACAATATTATTGTCTCTATGTATTATTCATTTTCAGTTACCTGTATAGATGACATTAATTAAACGATATGTCCAATTAAATGGCCATATATCATTACATTTAATTGAACAAATCATTTAAATGTGCTACATATCATTATTCTTCTCACGAATATGTCTGCTGTGGGTACAGTATGAATATTTCAGCAACTTCTGGTGATCTGAAGCTCACCTTCTTCTTCATCTTTCCACTTTGATTTCTGCCAACTGATGAATTCTCCAGCTTCCCTTTTTCACCTTCATCAATTTTCATTGAAATTTCCAAAGAAATATTGTCTCTAGATTCAGGCACCAAGTCTTCATGATCTCCTTCAAACGATGGATGAACCCTGTTGGAAGGACATTGTTTAGGCACATTAAAACCTGGTGATGATAAAATCCATTCTTCTAGAGTTAACACTTCACAGTTATTCTTCCGCAGCTGCTGCTGATGTTTTTGCTGATTTTCTTGTCGATGGGATTGCTTCTTTATTTTCGATGTGGCCAATAAGCATCTTGGCTTCATACATTCCAACATTGATGCTGTTAGGCTGCCATTTTTGTCATCAGAGTTTTTCTTGGAGAATCCACTGGACGGAAAACAGCAGAAATTTGATCCCATTTTTACTCAAAGGAACTATGAACAAGTTGTAGATAGCTGAGACTGATTGGATTATAAAGGGAACCTTTGACGGGATCTACAACTTGAATTTACATAGGAAGATACTGTCTGGTAATTTGCAAGTTGGATAAGTCTGAATCAAGGCAATTAGACATAGTATATACCGCCTAACAAATGGATGGCTTTTATTCCTAAGAAGTAATGTATATAGACATTTTTCATGCTGTACAAGGAGGCATTGGAGTTAATTAATGAACACTGTCGACAAGGAAATTTTTTGTATTAATTTGAACTCGACAATGTAAATTTTTGGCTTATTATTACGTGATTATAGCACAGGTTTTAAGATAGGTTGATTGTATTTTTCCTCGTATTATCGAGCAATATTAAACATGTAAAAGAAAAAAAAATCTTTATTACTATTGAGACGAGCATAGCATTTTTAGTAGTGTCCAACATATTACTTGGGAGAATGAAAAGTGCAATAGATAATTGTTTGGTTTCTTGTTCTACTTCAATACTAATCCCGATTGTTCTTATCAAATATGTTATTAGTGTGCACCAAACTGGCTAGAAATTATATAGAGGAACACAATTTTAACATCTATGACAGGGAAGTATAATCAATTCTTCGACCATTATTTAGAAAAAAAAAAGGGGTTAAAAATCCAAATGTGATCGATTATGAAAAACAGTTACTGGGGTGAGAGAGGCTCGAACTCTCGACCTCAGGATCACTCTTTAAGCTATGAGACCTACGCGCTAGCCAACTGCGCCACCACCCCTTTGGTTGTATTTTTCGATTAACATATTATACTACTTTTGGAAAGCAAATCTGACTTAAAATTTCAACCTTCTGAAATGACACATTTGATTTCACATATAACTTATTTTGGTGAAATTTTATACGAATTTATCTATCAGTAATCTAAAATTATTCATTGAAAATCAAATTCTCACATGCATGCTAATTTTTAAAAATTCATTGTCGAAGAAATATAAATTCCGATAATTTATGAGTTCTTAAATAAACATCTGTTGACGTTTAGACAATTGATTAAAATATGAATCCATTTTATACGTACGAGTGAAGAATTGAAAATAAAAATATAAATAAGTACATTCATCATTCATATCCATTACTGAGATAGGTCTGCATGAAACATAACCCATATGACCAAATTTTTCGAGCTGCATTGCTGGAAAAACTACAAGAAAGGCACATAAAAGCCTGAAGAGGAAAAATGAAGTAGGTCGATTTCAATATATCAAAGGCTGTAGATAGCAGATAATCTAATGAAAATAAGATTGCAGATAAGCTTATTATACTGTAAGCAATTTTGATTAACTCGAACACTCATCCTGAGGAAGGTACTGCTAACAGTAGAATCGTTCTATCAAAAAGATACTGACATTTAGTTATCTTCCCAAAACTAAAGCTAAATTCACTGAAAGCTTTAGAACTCTTGCCTTCAATGGAATGTTGAAGAGCTTAGATCTTATGTTCGATCTATTCATCATACTTCATAGAACCAAGGCACCTCTTCACATTCTGCTCTTACTAGAAGAAGATCTTACACCATTTGTTCTGATTGTGCTCGTGCTCACAATTTCTTTCTCGTCAAAGACGCCCATATGTCTTCTTCACTGATAAAACTAAAAGCATGCTGAACTCTGATCTCCATTGCTCACTTCATTTTATATTGTATATCTGCACGCTCTCTCAGCCATTCAAGCACTTTTGCTCCCTCAAGTACTTCTTGTACCTATGCAACATCACAAAAAGATCGTTTCAGAACTCGAGATGGTGCACGGTATGATGGAAAAACAATTGAAAATTTGGCAATATCCTTTCATATTTTTGGGTTATGTTAAGAAGAAGAAGAACTTGGCGAAACACTATTTTGTCTGATATTAAGATCCGAACTAAAGGAGCATTGATATTTTAAGAATCGATGAAATAGCGTTACTACCTGTCCTCTTACACGCTCCTCGTCATATTCTTGGTTATGACGTTTGAATTCAGCAATCGAGTTCTCGACCTCCTTGACCAACTCATCTGTTAAAATCTGAACCACAGTAAAGCATATCATTTGAGTCCTAATGCCAGAGTAAGTTAGAATGCTCTTACAAAGGATTTTTTCCTATCAGGATGTATAGTTTTCTCAGTTAGGTATATCATTGCAAGTTTTAAAAAGGAAACAGCAAAGATATTAGTCTTACCTTTGTCTTGATAAGCAACTTTCTAAAATAAATGAAAAATATTACGAACTAATATGAAAAGTAGAGAAATGAAGAGATTTTTAGAGAGCCAACTTTTTTTATTCCCACACTTAACTTCTTGAATGTTGTTGATACAAATGCATAGACACTGATAACAGCAGATGGGAAACTGCAGAAAAGTTGGATAAACAGAATACATAAACAGGAATCTACCTGCAAATTTTCACGTTTGAATATGTCACCAACAGCTATATTCTGCTGTATAATACTAGCTATATTTTCTTTTTGGCTTTCCATGAACTCCTTCACTGCCTTCGGACTTGATAAAGACACCATTTGTTGTTCACTGAGTTTCATATTTGCCTACATTAAGAAAGTGCTTTAGTGTCTATATAATCTCTTGTTGGAATGAACTTCTAGGGAATGCTTGATATGCAATATTGAATGAGATTGGACAAAATAATTGTCAGGATTTTAGCTATTTTTCTTCCTTTTATATTGTCCAGTCTGCCTTAACAAACACGCTATTAGAAATCTAAGGACATGTTTGGCTAAGCTTAAAATCCAATTAAAATTGAAAATATAACCGTTATTGAGTTTCACTAGTCTAATAAAAGTCAAGAATAACGGCTAGTTTTTCAATCTTAATCCGATTTTAATCTCTACCGAACACACCCTAAGCAATAAAAATGGTTTCTGGAGAAAAGGGCTCTGCAGGTGCTAACCTGTATTTGCAAAAGTTGGGCTCCATAAAGCTGCCTGGCTTGTTCCTCAAACAACGATTGAGGAATATCAACTTCGATCATCTAAGAAAATGTACAAGACAATGCATGAGATATATACTGTGCAAAATCTTTACAGTAGGAATAAATTTTGCATCCTATGACATTAAAAAAATAAATAAATATATAAATAAAATACTTTCTGTAATTGATCTAGAATGGCATTGTCCGTTGCTTGTTCCTTAGCTGTTTGCTCCACTTCAAGAAATTTCTGCAGCAACGTTTCCTTCACCTACAGATTTTTACGAATATAAAATTCCATTGAGATCCTTGTAATATATTTCTGTCACATACAAGTTTGACATTTACCTCTTCAATGGTGGTGCATCCAGACAGAATCCTATCAGCAAGGGAATCATCTAGTTCAGGTAAATCTCTGTAGAATAGTTCTTTACATTCAACCTAAACAAACAAAATCATATTCATTCTAATAGTCAGTCAATAAAATGTTTGTTTCGGAGAGATTATTTGATGTGAAAAATGATTTTTTTGGAGAATATGTGGTAAAGAAGTAGGGAAAAGTTATAGTCCCATGCAAAATTATTTTATTGGGAAAATGTGTGATTGAAAAATAATAAAACGAAAAATGATTTTCAAATAAGTTGTGCCATACAAACGCAAAATGCAATTTGGCTTCTATATGGTACGAACTGCTTGGTTCATAACAAAACCACGCTTTCACTTGATACATACACAAAACTCCTTGTTGAGGAAATAATCAATCAGAAAATGATGAAAAGATAAAGCAAAACCAAAAAGAGCAAGTTTTATGAGCTAGCAACTTGTGATGCAGCAGTAAGCAGCTACCATAAATTGCTAACTTGGTATCTGGGACAAAGATATTCAGGAGCCAAGCAAGACATGATAAACAGGGGAAAAGGTGAAGTTGATAATAGTATATATCAATTTGTGTTTCAGGTGAGCAACGTCATCACATTCTAAAATAAGAAAGGTAAGAAAAAAATAAAATATATATATATATGCATTTCCGCACGTGCGTATAACAAATAATCTTCAACCTGTCATTTATTTGATATATGACTTGCTCCAAATGGAAATAAAACTTACTGTGAATTGAGCACTGACACCGCGAAGATCTTCTTGTTTCCACGATTCAGGAAATACATATGGAAAAGACTTTGTTTCTCCACGTTTTATTCCAATAATTGAGTGCAGGAAATCAGGTAGAATTTTATCTCCATCTTCTGTATCAAACTGAAACCCTGGAAAAGAAATAAATTAGAAGCCATTCAATGTACTTCAATCCTATTTGACAAACTGTGGCAACCTCAACTGAGTCCAACTAGTAACATAAACGATTCAGAAATTATCTTTACATCATTTTTTCAGGGAAAAAATCAGGAGAAAAATTAGGCATGAATAGTTATCACCCTGCATCCCACAATCTTCATATCCTTCACGCAGAAATAAAGGCTTCTTGGTGAAGTCACTCGTTCCTAAAGATGGATGAATTTCCTAGAGAACATATGACTTACACTGTATGGTAACAAAAGAAACTTGTGTCCATAACACTCAACTAATGCTACAAGTCAAATGTAAGGGCTGCTCCAAAAATTAATAATGAGGGGGAAAGAATAATAAAGAGTGTGCAATTTGAACAAGGGAACAGTACTCATGACAAGTTAATCACAAATACTGAAAGAATAACTATGTTATCATGCAAACCTTTACTATCAGCAGATGGTATTCTTTTAGCAGCTGATTCGTCTTGCTCGATTGTTGTTGCTGATATATCAAGGACAGCAACATCACCTACCTGGAGAGGTTAGACAGAACTTCGATGAGAATGACTGGGAAACGTTTGTTTAACAAGTTGAGTTTAAATTCTATGAAAAACACTGAAGAACATTGCAGAAATTTTATGCAACTCCGTGTGATAGCTACAATGAACACACTAAAGGGAAGTAGAAAATAAAGAACTCAAGCTCACAATTAAATGATTTTGTGTAACCACGCCCAATCTAACCAGCCCCTGCCCCTAAGAGAATAATAAAAGAAAGAAAGGAAGAAACTCGCTTATGGCTTCAAAAGTTCCAATGTGAAATGGTTGACTGATCCACTAGATTTGGGAGGTGTTCTAGTAAGAGATAAAGCATGATTTGTTTACCTCAAGTCCTCTGCCAGTTACAATTCTTAGTGCACCGAGGGCCTTGTGTCGACGTCTTAATTCCTGTTCGGCAGCTGTCTGAGCATCTATTTCTTTGTCAATCTCAACAACAATCTTCAAATTCTGATATCCATTTTCAGGTATCCATTTGACTTCAGGTGCCACATCAACAATAACATCATATCTAAATCAAGAGACTGAAATTGTAAACTCTAACCATGCAAATTAAGTGATGGACAAGGGCAAAATGAAAGAACATATAATAATATTGTCAAAGGATCAAACACATAATTGGCTGATCCTAAGAAACTTTAGGCCAACACCAATGGGTATATTCTTCTAATCCCATCTCGACCCTATGTAGATTCCTATCATTTCCCAACTATGTAAAGGATTGAGAGGTACTTTTGAAATACATATAAGCATTACCTGCAAATTTATTACAATACCACGAAAGTTAATGACGATAAAGGTGTCGTAACCTGATGAATGATTACAAACCTCAGAGATTTCATAGAAGAATAAGTCTTTTCCATCTCTGGAAACTTTGTTGAAATGCGGACTGAGTCTTCTAAGGCTCTTTTGCTCACCTATGAAGTACCACCAATTGAAGGTATTTGGCTTCAGCAAGAGTGATAAAATCTTTATTTTAATATTTTACTAAAAGATGAGAAAATAAATATGTTTTCAGTAGAAAGATGACAATGGTTTTATATTAAAAGAAATAAAGCCAACGTCTTATGTATTTAGTTCTCTTTTTTACTCAAAGTATCATAAAAGCTCTTCTTCTCAGTTGAAGTAAATAAACAATTTTCATATGCATTAGACCAATTTCATAATAGAAGGTGCTTAGGGTAACCACAAACATTCAATATGACAAACAGATTACTGGGGAAGAAACACACCGAAGACATGGCATGTGGAATAGTTCTCTTCAGAATAGATTCAATTGTCGCCTTCTGAACAGTTTCCTTCCCGACATAACCTATGAGAATGCTTTCTGGAACATTCTTCCCTGCACGAAACCCAGGGACCTAATAGAGACAACAAGCAAGCTAACAGTAAATTTATATCCCATGATACAAGTTGAATTGTTAAACTTAGGGATCATAGAGAAATGAGTTTCATTACTGCTATTACTTGAATCATTTCTTCTGCAGCATGAAAACAGACGAAAAATTAAGAGGAAAATCAGCATTGGAAAAATAAAAAAATCGTAAAAAAATCTAGCCGGACAAGAGTCATCTTCTATCGCCAGCACTTGAACAAAATAATTCTGATGTCAGAAAAACCAGTCTAAGACTGAACCTATCAGAACGAGATTCTAAATTTTAAGACTCACTTGATTCTCACAACAGTGGTACTGTGGTACTGAAATTCCCAAAAGGACTTGTATGAATGCATTGATACAAGATAATTTCCAAAATTAAAGTGCGCACAATTGGAACATTGATTCTGAAAATTTATTGACAGTTGAAAAAGTATTGAAGGCTAGCTACTGAGCACCTTTGCGCGCTTCATAAACTCTTTGATGACTCTTCGGTAACAATCGTCGCATACTTCAGCAGGAACTTCAACACTCAACCTTACCTGCAGATAGGGAATTCTACGCTTATAACTCAAATTTAGGAGAAATTGTTTGTCTTAATTGATGACAGTCCCAACAAAATGTGATATTGGCAAGAAAAATATGGACTTCGATGTTGGACATTAAAATAAACAAAAGAATCGGAATTTCGAAAGAGATATGCACTTAGCAGACCAGAATTCAAAGATTTGGATGAGAAACTCTATGAAATTCAAGAAATATTCGCTCTTTCCTATTATTCTAACAACATTGCTAACGCGCAGACTATTTTTAATAATTTCATAACCATTTTGATACTGAAAAACTCTTAAATTGAACAATTTGTTACAACAATAAAAGAGAGAGTGTGCAAGAAAAAAAAACGAAAAACAGAAATCTCACTCTAGAATTTGGTTCAGGGGTTTCAGTGACTTGAATATCAGCAGGGAGTTTGTCAGTTACAGTGCTATCGACAGTGACGGGTGCTGCTGATGCCACAAACCGGGTCGAACTTAATTTGTGGGGCGGGTTTTGTAGGAAAGACAATTGGCGGGAAGATGGAACTGGTAATTGCATGAGAGGATTGAACAATAGTCTGTTATTGGATTGAAGAAAATCATTCTTGAAAAGTGAAGGAGAAGAAGGGGAAAAAGAGACTAAAGAGAGGTTGAATTGGGGCATAGCTGGTGCTATTGCTGAAATGCAGAACTCCATTGTTGGACTGAGCAAAATTCTCGAGTTGTTTTTGCGCTACCCTCTTGAGGATAAGATATTTCTCGAGCTAAATTTGGGTTCGAAAATGCTGATGTTTATCGGCTTGTGTCTATATGTCAAGATATTCTCAGTTTACCAGATTTTGGTACTAATTCTTTTTTTTTTTTTAAATCAATTTATTTTCAATTATATATTCTGTCATTAATTGATTTAGGGCGTGTTCGGTAGAGACTAAAATTGAATTAAAATTGAAAAATTAGTTTTTATTGTTGACTTTTATTAGACGAGTGAGATCCGATAACAGTCATATTTTCAATTAAAATTAGATTTTAATCCTGGACAAACATGCTCTTAATACGTGAACTCATAATTGTTTACACTTTTTAATAACATATTTTTCGAAAAATCTACATCACAAGCTTTAAACTCTGTTAGAATAATTTCAGAATAACTTAAGCGAGAAGGGCGAGGGCGGGGAGAAAAAGATTCTCGCTTTTGACATAGTGAACTTTGAGTAAAAGGTTCACATTTCGTAGTATCAATTCATGGGTAGAGCTCCTTTTTTATAATTATGTCATTGTTTTCAAATTATGGGAGCTTTCAGCCATATAAAAAGTTCAATATGTTCATCGTGTGATCATTCAAATAATTTAGTTATTACTTGTGTGACCCTTTGGAGAAAAACTATTTTTTGGCAAGCAAAAGTGAACTCTAAATGAATAAAATAAATTTGAATGACTGAATAATAATGACTTCTTGAATATTTACTACTCAAATATCATCGCTCGTAATTTGGTCAAAAAAGAGTTTCAACCATCAATTATGATGGTCAGGGAGAAAACCTCTACTGAAACGTCGATGATACATAATCGTGACGTGAGCCCATGACAGGGGGAAATGACATTCGACGGAGGCATGAATGATAAGCTACTTAAACGATCTAAATTGTACCATGATATATTCAAGTCAAATTCCCCCATCGTAAAGAATCAAATTTTGATAAAAAAATCTCGGGGGCTGAAATAAATTTAATAAAAATCAATGCCAAATTTCGCATAGCCCCTGTTTCATACCCATTAAATAAAAATTCATTATTTCTCAAACTCATTTTCAACCGCACATCCTCACGATGAAATATTTTATACATAAATTTAAAAAAAAAAAAATCTACTTTTTAACCACACATTCTCCAAAAAATTACTGTTATAGAACTCATTTTTAAAAAATAATAATAATAAAATAAAAAATGAGGCTCTAACATAGGCTAATAGTAGTGTATCTGTGTATGCAATCCTTCATTGATATATGCTTTCTAATTTCTAACATTTTCCTCTTCGATTTTGATGTTGTTGCAAATGGTGTTTATATTTCATAATATTTTTCCAAATTTACGACTTTAATTTATATAAAATATGAACTATATTAAAAGAATTTTTTAAATGGACTTATTTTGAGGCAGCAATAAGAAGAATGATATGAAAATGCCAAATTGTGGAGCAAAGTTTCAGACAATTGCCAGTTGATGCTGATGCTCTATTTACTCTGTTTGAAACATGAAACTGGAGAACTGCCAAGCCTTGTACTTGTTAACGAGACAGAAAGTTACATTGTTACTCATCTAGATTTGATAAATAATATTAAGAGCTTGTTTGGGAGAGATTTTTGGGGAAAGAATTGATTTTGAATAGTGATATGATGGGAAATGTGTGGTTGACAAAGAAGAAAAAATTATTGATGTGATGTTGGTTTAAGATTTTAATTTTTTTTTATAAGAAACTAATATTTGTTGAAGGTTAGTATGAAAATAATTTAAGAGGTTTTCTTCCTTGACTTTGACCTTTGGAACAAAAAAATTGAAATTCCTCGACTTTTTATAATTTATTTGAAACAATTCTTTTTACGCTATTCCGAAAATATAAGGTGCCGTTCTCTTTGCCATTTTCAACCCATTTTCTATTTTCGATTTTTCAAAACAGTTAAAACGCGTTCTCTTTCCTATTTTCGAAAACATGTTTTTGAAAACAAAAAAAAAAATTGTACACAAAACTCAAAACGACCAAAAGGTCGTTTTGAGTGTTTCCCAGCCAAATCACGCAAAAACT